TGATGCGGGTCTCAATCCCAGGACCCTGGGATCATGACCTGAGCCAAAGGCAGACGCCTAACGACTGAGCCACCCAGGCGCCCCAGACTCTTGGACACTTTTGCAACTTTTCATTAGCTCAACAATCCAGACTCTAGGAAGACAACTCAGTGCCTGTTCTGTCCATCAGCTCCTTTCCCTGATTTAAAATACTGCTTCTGAATCTAGTTCTTCAATGAGAAGTTCAGAGCCTACTATGTGGAAGGCTCTCGGCGTGGGGGGGGGGGGGGGGGGGAAGAGACTTGAACCTCTTCTTTGAAAAGCTTACAATTTAAAAATAAAAAAAAATAAAAAGCTTATAATTTGTTGGAGAAGAGAAACAGATGTACACCTAACCAAGTGCCAACGGAGGCCCAAACACTGGAGCAAGACAGTACAGAAGAGGGGGCTAATTTAAGTGTGTGGATCAGGGGAGGGCTTCTTAGAAAGGATCTAAATTGAAGCTTTGAAGGGACAAGTAGGGAGGAGAAAGGAGGAGCATTAAAGGCTGAGGAAAAAGAATGAATATGGCAATGTAAGTGAGAACGAAGGTAGTAAATTCAAGGATGAAGACCAGATCAGTGTGACAGGATTGTTTGTTTAGAGAACGTTGAGGGTAATGAAGCTTAAAAGGCAGGTTGATTTCAAATCAACTATAGGAAAGAAACAGTCATTAAAAGACTCTGAAGGTTGTGTTCAGAAAGACTTCTCTGATAGACTGTGTGAGAGATGAAGGTAAAAGGTGGGGAGGTGGTTACTGTAATCATCCAAAGAAAGATAATTAAGTCCTGAATTCAGTCTGTGATTAATGGGGCTAGAAGGGAGAAGATAGCTATACGACAGAGGCAAACTGTTGGCAATTTGGTGAGATGAGTGGGAGGAAGTTGTTGAAAATGACCACTAATAGGATGGTGATGCAATTAATCTAGATAACGGACAAAGAATGTGTTTGTGGGGAAGTAAGTGATTTGTTTGTGATTGAGTTTGAGGTGCTGGGCTGGGGTGGTGGAATCCATGCACGTGGTAATGTTCACCAGCTGGAAATTCAGGCCTGGATCTTGAGGCCTATCTTGGCTAGAAGAGTAGACGTAAGATACGTTATCAATGTAAGTGGTACTGAGATCAAAGAAAAAGATGAAATTGCTCAGGAGAGTACAGGGACTTGCTTGAGAACTATCATCCTCACACAAATTTAAAATAAAAAAAAAAAATCAAAATTAGTGCCCAGTTTTATTTTCAAAATGGAAATCCTTACAAGCTTCTAAGAATAACTGTTAACGCATCACGATTCCCAGTTTTTATGTGTCACTGTCTAGGTTCTGTTATCTCTAACAGTTGTATCGCGCAGTGGAAAGAACGGCAGGTCTCATCACAAAACCTAAGGGTTGACTCTTGTGTCCAGAATTTCCCAGCCACCTGACCATAAATCTGAGCTTCAGACTCTAATTGCTTCATGGGATTCATGGAACACTACATCAAAAACTAATGATGTAATGTATGGTGATTAACATAACAAAATAAAATAAAATTTAAAAAAATGCATGGCAAAAAAAAAAAAGACATATTGTATGTGAAAGTGCTGTACAAACTAAGAAATTATTGGGCGCCTGGGTGGCTCAGTTGGTTAAGCGACTGCTTTCGGCTCAGGTCATGATCCTGGAGTCCTGGGATCGAGTCCCACATCGGGCTCTCTGCTTGGCAGGGAGCCTGCTTCTCCCTCTGACCCTCCCCCCTCTCATGTGCTCTCTCTCTCATTCTGTCTCAAATAAATAAATAAATAAATCTTTAAAAAAAAAAAACTAAGAAATTATTAGGGCAAGAGTATCAGCCTAGCATATTGCCTAGCAGAGTAGAAACGTATTTCTTAATGGATGCAGAGTCTCCATTATTAGGAAGGAAGCAGCTTCAGGCAACTATCTCTGTACTTCCCACACTGCCTATCATAGTTATCTGTATGGCAACAGATCATCAGAAATGGGATATATAAACCTTGGTAGCAGGTTTTGTTTTATCCTGCACCTTAGGACCTCTGGGCATTGGAGTGGGAAGAAAACCTGATGGAATAGAAATGATTACTTTAAGGGGTGCCTGCCTGGTTCAGTAGATACAGCATGTGACTCTTGATCTTGGGGTCATGAGTTCAAACGCCATGCTGGGTGTAGAGATTACTTAGGAAAAAAAAAAAAAGCTAACTCACTTTACAAAAAAGAAGAAATTATTCCTGTAAACATTTTTGTTCTTCTTTTCTCAAGCGAATGTCTCAGGTTTGCTACAGATACTTGTGGGCATTGGTTGGTTCTGCTGGTTGCATAAAGGACCAAAGTTCTGAGACGAATACAAATGATTAGACCGGAGCCAAACTCCAGCAGAGGAAAAAGATTGTTTGCAGAAGGCTCCAGAGCCAGAGAAAAGTGATTTCTTGCCTCCATGATGTGATCCAAGAAACCAAATTTCCTAGGAGGAATTGTAGGGGCCCTGCCTCACAAAAGTGATCCTCAGTCTCTCATTTATACCTGCTGCATAAGGAGCCCACGTTTTCCAAAATTCTTTCAAGCTAAGTGTTTGACACTGCAGTTTCACAGAGCCCCTAATTCATTTCCTGTTTAGATTATGCAGGCTAGAATGCCTCTCCCCAAACTGTGGTGGGACATCTTCCTGACCTGATGCCAAAGCTCAGCCCCAGTTAGGCCTCTGAAGGGCAGGCCTGGACTACCTCTGGAGAAGGACCAGGTCCTCTCTTCTTAGCCCTTGGGCTCCCCCGCAACCCACCCTGGTTTTCAAGGCCTGTTTTTAAAAGTTATTTCAGGGGTGCGTGGGTGGCTCAGTCGGTTAAGTGGCTGCCTTTGGCTCAGGTCATGATCTTGGGGTCCTGGGATCGAGCCCCGTGTTGGGCTCCCTGCTCTGCAGGGAGTCTGCTTCTCCCTCTCCCTCTGCTCCTCCCCCTTGCTCGTTCTCTCGCTCAAATAAAGAAAATCTTAAAAAAAAAAAAAAAGTTATTTCATAGAAGAAAGCCTTGCTTGAGGCCACGGTGAGATTAACGTCTGCGGACTCTGAAGCAGTCCTCCGTCATGTAGTCCAGGATGGTGAATCCAGAATTTGGAATCTGAAGACTTGGCTTCAGGTTCCAATTCCCCTGATAAACCATGTTTTGTGTCATAACCTTTCAGTTTGTTTTCTCTTTATAACATCTCTCTCAAAAGGACTGCAGGGATTGAATGAGACAATGAACCTAAAAGCACATGTGTTTTCCCTGAATGTTCCCCTAATGCTACAACATTATTGTGGCCCATTTGGCAAAAAAAGATATAAAAGCCCGTGCTTCTGGCTGGACAGGGCTAGTTATGGAAGAGACCTTCGCTATAGGCTGCCACAATTTCCAAGTGAGGGTCCCAAAGCCTGGTTCATGTTTCTCCTGGAGCCAAGGTCTGATTTCAGTTACTTTCCAATTCACCAGCTGACATAATTCTAATGTTTATGAGAACTCAGAAACTGGTTAACAATTAAAAAAAAAAAGTTCTCTGAGGTTCCTTCCTGTCTCCATGACCTGCAGTTCCTCAGAATTGTCACCCTGCCCTCTGAGCTCCCTCCTCTTCATCCTACAAACCACACCTCAAATGCCATTTTTTCGGCAAGGAAACTTTCCTTGACCCTCCAGACCAGGTTTCACTCACAAAGCAACTTCTAACTCTCCTTGATACCACTTAGTCCTATTGTGATTAGAAGTACGTATGTCCTCCCCAGTGGAATATAAGCTCTGGAAGGGCAGGGTTCGCGTCTCTCTCTGGATTCTTCCACATCTTAGCGCCTTGGATAAAGACAATAAAACATGTTGAATGAGGCCAGAGCTTTGGGTTTCTTTAATCTTGTTAAGAGCTCTTGTGGCAATGAAAATAAAACATATAAAGAAAACTAATTTAGTGCTGGCAGAAAAGGTTCTGGATGGAGGAATGCTTCCTTTGGCAGTTTTCTCCAATAAAAAGAATTTATGGGCTTAATTAAATCATCAAGATCTTTTTCAGAGGTACAGGAATGGCCAAGGATCAAGCTTGCTCTGAATCATTCACTTTTTTCAAGTGGAGCTGCTCTCCTGGTGAGAGTAGTTCATGTCAAGGAGGAAATCAGCATAGCTTCCTTTGTAAACAGACAACTGTCCTTTCTTTTCCTTTGACTCTCAGGGCCCAGGAGACAGTTTCTAGGTATGAACCTATCTTGGCCAAACCATAAAGAAGATGGAAGTTCTTCTATAGCAACCTCACTTTTCCCTCAGTTGTTTCTATTAGTTTTTCTAGTGGCCTTCCCACCCCTACCTTAGCATAAATTTAAATCAATGTTCAGACTCATCTAAGCCAAGTATCATTTTTACCTTATCCCAACATTGGGAAAAAAGCTTTTATTCTCCTGTAAGCATGACTTCAGAGAGCAGCCACCAAATCTGTGTCTATTTATACGTAGGACTGTGTGTGGAATGCCTTCTAGAATCACATTTGTTTACCCTCCTTACCCCGGCCTACTTAGCCAGTGTATTTAGGCTGCTTTAAAAACACACAAACAAGAGACAAGAGCCTACATCTTATAAAATGCAAGGGCAAAATGAAGGAGCCTCCTTAAGTAAGATTCAACATCTCTGTAATCTGCATACTAATAATAAATGTTATTATATAAAAACCAGTGATGGAGATGGTGTCCTGTAGCTACGAAGGGCTGCCCGACTCCATCTCCTGGGTCCAGAAACAGCAGAACCCGTGTGTTGAATCATAGGGCAAACGGCCAAAGGTACGATTTCCTCATTGCCCACTCTCACAACTTTACTTTGACCCTTTCCAATTTTCACTGGTTCATATCAGGGTGCCTTCGAGGATCTTTGGCTTCAGGGATCCTTTCTTTTGTGATCCTTTAATGACTCATTAGTTCACTGAGGCTTTGGCAATTCCTGCAGGATGTAGGTTTCATTTCTTCCCTGTAAATGAAGAGGCAACCCAGGAGGTTGTTAAACAAATTCTATTCAGGAGCTGGAAAAGTGAATTTCCTGTGGAATGACAGGAATTACATAGAAGCAAGCAATTTTATTTTCCTCAAATGTAGCAATAATTTTAATCTGTACATACATAAAACAAACAGTGCAATTATAAAACCTTGAAGGTGACATGCATACTTTAAGGTGCAGCTGGGATGGGGAGGATGTTATTAGCATCTCCAATTTTCCTTACCACTTTTTAAAACTAGTTCCTTATGCAAAAGCACTGAGTCAGGAAACTTCATCTGGAATGCTGAAGTTAAAGGTGAACTTCCTGAAGTCTGCACATCTAAATATCACAAACAAAACAGAAATGACCTCCTAGAGCAGTTTGGTAAGGACTAGAGTAATATGGCTGGGCGTTCAAGCTGGGAATGAATGAAATCAGGGATGCATTTTCTGAAAAACTAAAAGAGATAATGTTTGTAACTGAGTGTCCTATTTCTGTTTCATAGTTGCTACCCATGTGAGCCCTTCCAGCAATCTTTTTATTCGGTATAGTTTCTGAGTAGATGCTGTTCAGTGGAGTTATCTGTAACTAGGGGTGGTGAGATGCACAAAGGAGGACCTGGGAAAATGGCTTCTTCCTTGGTGTCTGAGTCCATGCTCCTCATCCGTTCTTAGTTCTTATGGCCTTTGCTCTGCTGTGGAAGCAGAGGTAGCTGGTGCACGATGTCAGATGCTGTCATCATTCACAGGCCCGGGGTGCAGGTAAAGGCGAGTGATGGGGGTCTACCTTTGCTTCTTCCACAATACCCTTCTCAAGCTTTCCTGGCCTTGCAGTGGAACTTCTAGAACTAGAGGCAGTTCACTGGGTCCTTGACTCAGAGGCCAGGATGAGACAAGACGTGGCAGAGTGACAAGACACAAAGGGAAAATACGGTACCAATTAGCCTCAGAGTAGGATAGAGAAATTTATATTTGCACTGATGAAAATTCAAATCCCCACAGTCAATCTAAAACACAGGAAAATTTTCTTTGAGTACTAATTTTTCTCTGTACAAGTAGCGTGTGCACTTCTGGTGTTAACTCCTTGCACTGTCTCAAGGTACTTGATCCCAGGGACACTCTAGGGCAGTGTGCGCTAGCTCATCTCCAACAGCTCTTTCTGGCAGTGGCATTTTGATGTGAACTGCAAAGTAAATCCATACATGGCATCACAGTTAGTAAAATAATGAAATATCACTAGCCAAATGTAACTGCAATTCAGTCAATGATATATTCACACACAAGTTTAGAAAAATCAAGAGTATGATAATAAAACCATAAAATTAAACAGAAGGAAATCAATTTCTACGAGAAATCAAATATATTTACAGTGAGATTTAAAGGGAAAAATAAGCTACTTGGATCATAAATTTAATTTTATTTTAAATAACTTTAGCTACCTTAGCTGTTAATACAATAAAAGCAGAAAGAACAGGCTGCCTTTTTTTCCAGATTTAATCAGAAAAATTGTATCTACAATAATTGACAGAACTCGCTTCTTGTCCTTCACCCATCTCATCAAAAATTATTGCATTTTCCCCCAAACTGTATTTTTTGGATTCCTCTGTGAATATACTCATTTCGTCCTCGTTCCTGGAGGCATCTTGGTTTAAATCCATCTTTAAAAAAAGAAGGGGTACATATGGGAGGCAAAATATTCTCTTGAAGCCAACAGATAGAGTTGCTAGAAGAAGCTGATTGTACACACAAGCTGCCAGGGTCGGGAAGGGGAGGGCTGCTGATTTAGACACACGTGACAGCCTTTGGTGGATGGGCACAGGCAAAGCCCCACTGGGCCCTTCTTCCTTGTCAGGGTCAGGACTGAGCCAGCAGAGGTGGGGCTTCATCTTCCCCTTGGAACTTGTCATTTTGGTTCTCCTCCAAAAGCCTTCATCCAGATAAGAAGCCAATGACTGATTACAAAAATAAGAATAATTAAATTTGGCTCAAGAAATAGATTGTCCAACTGTTCTGCCTTGTTATTTTTTTTTCAATATCCAAGGCCTTTACAAAGAAAGAAACAAAAACACCTCTCAATCTTCCAACAAAAGTGAATTCCTTTTTTTTTTTTTTTTGCTCCAAATGCTACGACCTGAAGAATGGCTGCAGATTGAGATATCAAAAATCTCAGAAAAATATATAATATATTTGTATATCTCTGTATGTCTATTATTTAAATTTCACATTCCTTTAAAAGTGGTTATTCAGTCAGTAGCTGCTGAAGGAGGCTCTTCTGCTGGGCTTGGGGGGTCTGTGGTCCTGCCGTGGGTTTTTGAGTTCCCAGTGGACCAGGCTGGTTCAGGTAAGGGTCCCCGCCTACCAGATTCACTGTACACTGGACGTCAGCAAACACCTGAACCTGTTGCACCTGCTGGAACACAAATAAAAGATGTGTTTAGACAGAAGGGTCTGCCCCCCCGGCTTATGAGTGGGTACTACTTGAAGTGGAAACTCACTAGAGCATTCCTCTAGTCTGTAGTCACCACAGAGAAGAACTCTTCTGTCTTCTTGTCCTACAAAAAGAAAATTGCTGCACTCATTTTGCTCAGGGTTCTGGAAAGTTCACACTTTAAAAATAAAATCAAAATTGGAATGGTCAAGCCTCCTACAGGGTTGCCATCAATAATGAAAATGAGCATCACTGCTAATACTGCCAAGATTGGGAAAAGCCCAGTGTCAGAGTCTGGGTGTCCAGTGGTGGGTTTAAAAATATATATATATAATATATACACACACACACACACACACACACACACACACACACACATATATAATTTGGAAATTGGTTACAAAAGCATTCTATGGATGACTTTAGTAGGATAAAAAAAAACTTGACGTTGTTAGAAAATTAAGGGCTTTAACCCAGTATTAGCAAAATAAAAACCACCACAACTCAGTAATAGGACATCAGCATTACTAAAGTTAATGTCCAGAAGATTTGCGTAGTATCTAAATATACTATTACATAGCTCTTTTACATATTGCCTTTTGAATTACAGCAAAATATTAGTAGAACAATTTTATATTTAACTTCTTTTTCCTGACAGACAATTCATTTAAACACATGAGCTAAAAATAACAGTCAATTACTAGCTGAGAACAGTGTGAATTTTCCCTTTAGCTACTTTCAGTAATAAAACACATATCCCTTAAAAATGTCTAAAGTTGCATAGTTCTAGCATTTTCTATTGGGAAAACAAAGCCAGAAGTTAGTTTTTACAACCATCCTTATTAAAAAGTCATTTGTCGAACTGAATAAAGCCAGTATCACACTTGCAAATGTTCCAGACCAAGAACTGAGATGCCTTCCAAGGCATCCAAGTACATCTGTTAGTGTCTCAATCCTTTGGCAAATTTGTGCTTCATGTTTAATAGGTACATGAAGTATTTTAGATTAGTGATGCATTTTTTTGGTCATTCATCACTAATTTATGTCAATTCCACTCAGCTTTTCTGAAAACTTTTCTATCCTAATTGAATAAAAGTTGTTTTCATCAACCTTCGTTGGCCACATGTCAAATGTCCCAACCTCCAACTGCTGTATCAGTCCAGTCCCCAATGTGTTTCCCTCTTGATCCATCTACACCTCCACTCTACACTCCCTCAGAAAAGATAGACAGCCTCTGAGCTGAGTCTTCGTAGCTTGATGGATTAAACCTCTAGTTACATTAGCATCATTTTTCCCTTTATCCTCTTCTTTGCCTGATTTCCTAAGCTTTGCTTCTGGACCCCACAGGCTCCCATTTGTTTTCTTCTTTCTTTGGGCTCTTTTTTGTGCGACTAACATACACCAACTCTCTGAGTCTATTCACTAGCTATCCCTGTGCCCTTCCCCCCCCTCTGTTCCTAACTTCTCTTTCCTACTCTTTTCCTTCTGGAGCTCTGGCCCTGACCCCTCCTCTTTCTCCATGTCAACAATCCCCCTACTAAGCCTTCTTCCTGCTTCTCTATATTCTGTTCTCTCTGTCTTGCCTCTTCCCTGTCTCTGTTCTCCAAATACAGGTAGTCCTTAATCCTCCTCGAACCCTCCGCCTTGGTTCTTTTCCTTCTCCTTTGCTGTACACCTGTCTCACTCCCAAGCTCCTGTTTGGCAACTACAAAACCACTGGAGCCAACCGAGATTGCATGACGGGCTACAACAGAAAGAAGGTTCTGCCACTGCAACTTGGCATAAGCACAAGCTATGGGGCTTTAAGCACTGACGGACTAAGAAAAATAACAGCATGTAAAATTTCATGTTTATGTGTTTCAACATACGAAATACTGGGGCAAAGCACCAGGTGTTTCTGTCCCCAAACACTTAAAAAACATTCTTAATACAGGCATGATCAAACGAACTAGAGAGAAAATTTTGCTTCTTTAAAAAGAATGCTTTTAAGATAGTCTATTCTGAAATTTAAAAAAAAATGGAAAAGATCAAACCAAACTTCAGCCAATTTGAACTGCTACTTAAAAACAGGATGCCTTAGACCAGACCTCAAAGGACTTCAGATATGGCCACCACCTTCACAGACAGGCAAAGCAAGACGAACACAAATCCTACGATTTGCCAGGTGAGAAGAGTGGTGTGAGTGGAGTCCAAACCTCGTAAGATTTTCCGACAGTTTTCATACCAATCCAAATGCTGTTTCAGAGCTCCAGAACTTTAAAACTCGGTTGTTTAGTTTTAATTAATTTGCCAAGCTGCCCAGTATTATGTCTCTGCAGGAGTGAGACTTTGGAAACCTTCTAATGAAGACTTCATTTTCCCCATCACAAAATCCCCTCTTCACCCTCACAGGACTCAGATCCTATCTCCTGCGGCTCCAACTACGGACATGGCGCTAGCTGGTCCTCCTCCTCCTGAGGAGGCTGCTCACTGCTCCTCCTGTCCCTCTTCCTCCTCAAGATGCAGCCTGAGCTGTTGACTGCAACACTGCTCCTCCTGAGGGTGACACTTCATCCACAGGACTCAATCCAAACCCCGGAGTTTAGCATTCAAGGCTCCTGGAAATCTGCCCCAATCTATTTTACCAAACTTAATTCCTATAAAATCTTATTTTTACCTTCAGTGGATTTTGTTTCCCAGGACCATGCTAAGACATTACTGTTTCCCTGTCTCCGTGCCCTCTACTTACGGTCCCCTAGACTTGCAAGCACATTCCCTCCTCCAGCCTCTGACACCGTCTCTTTCACCTTGCCTTGCTAACTGTCCTCAAGGTCCAGTTCAGCTCCTGTGGAAATGCTCTTCTTACCCTCACAGCATTTTCTCCTTTCTTTGAACACTATGGTTCCTGTTACTTGTAACATAAATTTGAGTTTGCCTTCTTCTGGCTATGTGACAATGTGTATATGTCTACATGTTCTATCTTTCAAGAGGACCTAAGTGGTATGGCAGCAAGAGCATGAACTTCGGTGTTAGAAATACCTGAGTTGAACCTCAGCTCTGCCACTTTCTAGCTTTGTGAATTGTGCGTGTAGTTAAATCTCACGGTCTGTTTCTTCATCTGTGAACAAAACGAATACTACTTCCTTCATAGGGTCGTAGTGAGGCTTACATGAGATAAAGCACGGTGCTTAGCACAGTGCTGGGCAAATTATAAGCATTTCACAAATGAAACTTCCCTTCCTCACTTCTCCCCACAGTTCACCTAGAGGGCAAACATGTCTCATGTTTCTTTGTATCTCCACCTTACCCTAATGCCTGTATAGTATCTTAAAAATATATATTTATTAAGAGACTAAATCAAAGTTACTGAAGTGAACTCAAACATCCCAAATCTCTAAATTTAGGTTAATATAGGAAAGTGGCCAGCCTTGCTATCTGTTTTGTTTTGAAACAAACTTCTAAAAGGAGGCAGAGTAATAGCAGATGCTCTATTTTGTCTGAATTTACTGAGATCTTTTGAGGTACTTTGATTACACATGAGTTTCAGAACTGTGCTTCTTTACTATATAACAATTAGTGGCCACCATTTGTGATCCCTTTATCCTGTTTTACCACTGGATTAAACCTTTTGAAAACTTCTCACATTTAACCCTCTCAACAATCCTATTAGCAGGTATCTTGTTAGTTCTGTTGGTTAAGTAGCAGCTCAGGAAAGTTCCCTAACATGTCCAGGAGGACACAGCTAAGAAGAGCAGAGCCAGGACTCACACCCAGGTCTGACTCCCAAGGTCAGGCTCTTAACCACGATGCTAAAACAAAGTTTCCTGTGTATCTAGAGTACATTTGGCAGCTCTGGGTTTTAAATTTTCTTACTGACCTGGGTTCCATCTGTTTCTGTTTTGAGAAGGTCAGTGGATGAGAGCTGGTTGCAGTAGAGGCCTGTGTGTCTCAGTGCTGGATCATTTATCTATTAAAGATAAGTACAAGACCAAATTACAAGCTAGTTGTTTAAGTTGAAGACCAAATTCTTCAATGAAAAATAATCTCACTGACAGAAAACAGGGGTGCAGCAGAAATAAAAAGCTTAGCAATTTACTGTGTTGTTATAAGTCAGGACAGTGGTTCCCTTTGCAAGGGTGAAGAGGGATGCGGAAGGGAGCATGAAGAGAACCTCCGGGGTACTGCTGATAATGTTTTGTTTCTTGATCTGAATGGTAGCTTTAAAGATGTGTTCAGTTTGTGAAAATTCATGGAGTTGTATATTTTTCTGTATACTCTTATATGATACTTCAATAAAAAGTTAAATTCACACACACAAAAGTTAATCAACAAACGACTTTTATTTCTTGCCAAGATTTAGTAATAGCAATCAGGTATATCTTCTGCCTGAATCAATGAAAAAATTGGATAAAATATATGAAACGAAGGCACTCAAGACATTGGACAAACCCAATGAAGGAGAGTGATCCCTAAGAGCTAGGAAACAACTGAGGTGAGTCCTACAATTGCCTCAGCCTACTGTCTCCAGAGAATTTCCAGGCTGCAGCCAGAGTGGGGACAGGAAACCCTGGCAGAGCCCTGCAGGCTCCCTGAGCTGAGATGATGCAGCTGGATGTCTGAGATGGTCAAGGCAGCTGGAATTCACAGGGCAGAATATCAGAGGAGAGGGAGCTATGCAGAGAGAAAGCTCTGAAGAGCTGCAGAGGGTCCCCTCAAGTCTGCAACTTAGTACTGATCTGCTAATGGATTTTAGGGAACTACCCAAAGCAGAGGAAAGAGTCACCGGAAAAGCTGCTGATGGAATAATTCCCAAAGCTCACACAGAGCTGGGAATAGGTCCTGATCCAACCAGCCACAGTGGAAAACATCGAAATTCATATAGTATCAGGCAGCATATTAGAAAGGCTTTGCCTCAGTAGTAAAGTAAAATGATCCCTATACTAAATACTGCTCTGGTCCTACTAAACAAAAAAGCAAGACCTGAAAGGATCAAACTGTTTCAAGTAACTGAACCATTTCCCAGAATAAAGCTCAAGAATATAGGAATATCACCAAGGTAAAATTCACATGTTTGGCACCCAATAAAAGATTACCAAGTCATGCAAATTAGCAGAAAAATATGACCTATAATGAAAAGTCAATCAATTGAAACCAACCCCAAAATGATGCAGATGATAGAACTGACACACACGAATATTAAGACAGTTATTACAAGAACCATATTCTGGATGTTCAAGAAGATAAGAGGAAAGGCTAAACGTGTTAGAGGTACAGAAGATATAAAAGAGGTCCGCACTGAACTTCTGGAGAGGAAAGCGGAATACCTGAGATGAAAAATATACTGGGTGAAATTAACAGATCAGACATTGCAAAAAAAAAAAAAAAGAAAGAAAAGAAAAAGATTAGTGAACTTAAAGCTACAGCAATAGAAACTATCCAAAATGAAACACACAGAGAAAAAAACCAACTGACCTTGTACCCCTCCCCCCAAAATCCACAAACCCAGAGAATCAGTGAGCTGTGGGACAAGTTCAAGTGGCCAACTATGTATATATAATATAATATAATATAATATAATATAATACAATATAATATAATAATATGTGTGTGCGTGTGTAATTAAGAGTCTCTGAAGGAAAGGAGGTGGGTGGTGACAGAAAAAATATCTGAAGAAACAATGGTCAATAGTTTTCCAAATTTGATGAAAATTATATATCCATAAATCAAGAAGCTCACTGAACTCCAAGCACAAGAACCATGAAAACAATCACTAAGGCATATTGTAATCAAATTACTTAAAACCAGTGACAAAGAGAATAATCGTTTTTAAAAGCAGCCAGAGTGGGAGAAAAATCAATCATGTACAGAGGAACAAAGAAAATGCCAGCAGATAACACATCAGAAATACTGCAGCAGCGCAGTATCTCTCAAGTACTGAAAGCTAAAACTAAAGTCAACCTAAAATTCAGGGAAAAAACTCTTTCAAAGATGAAGGGGAAACAAAAACTTTTTTAGACATACAAAAGCTGAAAGAATTCAGCAGTGGCAAACTATAAGAAATGCTAAATGAAGACCTTCAGGCAGAAGGAAAATGATAGCAAGCTGGAACTTTGGATCTACACAAAGGAATGAAGACCACTGTAAATCACTACACAGGTAAATATAAACGTTCTTTTTTGTTTTGTTTTGTCTTATTTTTAATTTTATTTTATTACGTTATGTTAGTCATCATACATTCTTAAAATTAAAAAAAATATGTAATTGTTTAAAGTAAAAGTACGTGGGGTATATGACCTAAGTAGACATGTATGGTAACAGCACAGGATGGGAGAAATGGAAGTAAACAGCTGTGAGGTTTTTTTTTTTTTTTTTTTAAGATTTTATTTATTCATTTGAGAGAGAATGAGAGAGAGAGAGCATGAGAGAGGGGAGGGTCAGAGGGAGAAGCAGACTCCCTGCCGAGCAGGGAGCCCGATGCGGGACTCGATCCCGGGACTCCAGGAACATGACCTGAGCCGAACGCAGTCGCTTAACGAACTGAGCCACCCAGGCGCCCAGCTGTGAGGTTTTTATACATGAGATGATTATCATAGCACTTGAAGGTACTTGACAATAAGTTAAAGATGTATGCTATAAACTCTGAAGCAACCACTAAAATAACTAAATGGAGTTATATATAGTTAATAAGCCATCAAAGGAGATAAAATGAATTAAAATGTTCAATTAAACAAAGAAAGGCAAGAGATGGAACAAAAAAAACCCCAAAAAAGATGAGATATTTCAAGTCAACCATATCAAGAATCACATTAAATGTCAGTGAGCTAACCACTCCAAATAAAGGGTGCAGATTGTCGAACTGAATAAGAAAGCAAGACCCAACTAAATAAGAACTACGCCTTAAGTGTAATATTCTTTTACCTAACTCATTATATTTTTTATTATTTTAATCTGCTGGAGGTAGTGAAAAATTCTAATAACTGAATAATAAGAACAAGGACAACAGACAATACTATTTAGGTCTTCTATTTTGCTATAAGAAATGAATCACTAAGTTGTTGATTTTTTTCCCTGCTAAACTCCTTAGGGACTTATTACATAATATCTGGGGAACAGAAAGTTTTCTAAAAAAATTCACATCAAAAAGGCATCCCACAGAAAAGGTAATCAGGGTCTACATGTTTTTAAGACTTGTTATAAATTATGGCTACATGAGCACAGTCTACTTTGTCGTTGCTCAAAATGAGAACAGGAACTACAGGGAGGTACTCCAATGATCTTCTTAAATATCATTTTGAATTTAGTCATTCCATCCTTAAAAATCTTCAGGAGGCTCCAGGATAAACTCTAAAACATTTAGATGGCTTGCAACGTCCCCAAAAAGCTTACCACGTAAATTCTGCTTTAAATATAGTATCAAGGTCCCCTTAACATCCATGAGACTTTTCAACCTCTGTCCCTTGCCTGGGTTATGCTGTGGCAACCAGTCCTGAATGTTTTTTTCTATTCTCTTTCTTCAGGCAAACCTGCCAAGAAGCCTTTCCTAATCACGCGGCTTTTCCTTCAAACCCTCAGTAGTGAATTGCACATACCCCTAATCTGATATAAAATGTACGGTCCCATGGAGGTCTGTCTCTTACGCAGCGGTTTTGTCCTATTAGTCAACTGATCCTTTGTTTATGTTGTGTCTCCCCAACTTGTTACTATTATCTCCCACAGAGCTATCTTTGTATATAATAAGTACTGAATAAATGTTTGCTGAAATGAAAGGGAAAAGTGAAGAAAATGTGTTCAGAATATAAAGGGGTAAGTTACAAGCCAATGTATTATATGTATCATTTTATTTTATTTTAAGTAGGCTCCATGCCCAGCGTGGAGCCCAACTCAGGGCCTGAATTCAGGGCCTGGATTCATGACCCTGAGATCCAGACCCGAGCCGATATCAAGAGTCGGGTGCTTAACTGACTGAGACCCCCAGGTGCCCCTGTATCATTTTATAATAAATCTAAAACAATAAAATCTCTTGAGATTAAAATCTTACAAGGTCTGTCAAAACTTCCATCGTATATCTAAGAGGTAGTAATTATCAAAAGATAGTGGGAAATCATAAAGAAGTGCGTCTTTTCCCCCTAGTTTATTGAGAAATAACTGACACGCATCACTGGACGGTGTGGTTATTTTTGACGAGTAACTGAACATACCTGATTTTCCCCGGAGGAATGACCTGTGCTGTGGTCTGGGGGGTGGGCAGCAAGTGTGCCAGCTGTGTCACTTACCTGCTCGGGGCACACAGTGTTCATTCCTGGCATCTGCAAAGAGCTCATCTGCATCTGGCCCATCATTGGGTTTATGTTCTGAACATTTGTGTTTCCACCTGCCATGGACACGGTGATGCTCATGTTGTTGTACACGCCCGGCTGCGCAGGCGTGGGCTGGTTCTGGACAGCTTGACTGAACACACTGTTAACTCAAAAACAATCCCAATTACATCCACAGATCGTGAACACGGGGGCAATGTGACTGAACTCTGTTTCTTGAGTATTAGATACAATTCCAAAGAAAAGATTTTACATTCTTAAACTACGTGTTAAGACTTTATCTTATTACAATATATAGAAATTGAGTGTAATTCAGATGAATTTTGAACTCTGCCCAAAGGATTTAATACTACAAAGAGCTCGTTTTAAGTTACAATTATCTGGCCTGGTATCAGAGTTGTTAAGTTCCAATTAGCTGAATAATTAAGAAACTTTTCCACATAAGTACATCTTCCAGATAACTGTAATATACTCATTTAACAATCAAAATCATTCTAAAATTTATTATACTATTTTATCTTCATAAACCAAGAATGTTCTATTTAAGCAAAATGCCTGGGCTATATATCAATGCTCAATAAATGTTCACTGAATGAATTAACAAAGGAATCCATGATTCAAAGATGGCATTCTTATACTGTGATTGCTTATACATCTTCTTAGACTTAATACTTAAGGTGAACAGTACTATCTTGTTCCACTCATTCCTTGTCTCTAGTAATAAGTGACACGTGGCAAGCACTCAGTAAATATCTGGTGAATGAGTGAATTACGGACATGGGTTATTATTACTCAGTGCTGTCAACTGATGAGGTTTGGACTGCTTCTTATTTATAGATTTTCTGGTATCTACACCAATGTTTTTCTAAGGGAAGTCCAGAGACCATATGAAGAGAATTCCCTGGGACTCGTTGAGAACTGGGACTCCCAGGCCTTACTCTAGCCCTAGTGAATCAGTTTCTGAGGGTGGGCACAGAAAGTCGCATTTCTAACTATTTATGCACATTAAGACTCAAGGGCCTTTATTCAATGTTCTAGAGCTTGCTGTCGCTTCTCAAGGATTCAGCTTCTGGTTGCTTTCACTATGCTGTAACTAAGAGGAATATAACCAGATATTTTTATTTGGCAAATGTAATGTTTTTAAAGACTCCAAAGGTCTTCTCAGGCCAGAAGGTGGCTTTATGTCTTTTCCAGAAGCAAAATGCAAGGGCAATTATGTTTTTCAGAGGGCTTGTTTTACAGACTTCCTTCTTTATGGCCTCATTCTGGACCGTTGTTATAGTTTGGACTGTTTCTCTTAGTAGGTAGAACAGTATGGAATAACCTCCAAGTAAATACAACTTGAAACTTTATATTTGAACTCCCAAATTCTAAATGATACAGATATACACATCTAAAGGAAAATGATATGAATTGTGTCTTTTATAACTTCTACAAAACACCAAATGTTTTAAGATTAGCAGTTGTTAATCTTAATCTAGTTAAGCAGTTAACTACTGATAGAATTCTACCTATTTTAATGTTAATTCTGGAGAATTTGATTTCTAAAAATTATTTACCCCATCAGTGACTTATCTATTCCTTATCTATTCCTTGCTAGCTCCTGGGAGGTAAACAGGATGTACTGACATTTATAGTTTCTGGTAGATTAAGGTAATCATGCTAAAATTAACAGACTGAGAAACAGCCTATTCATCATGTCTGAAGAAAAGCAGCAAATTTTCCCCCAGTAATTATAAAACACAAATGCTCAAAGAAAATTATATGCCTAGGAAATGGTCAATAATACATCTTTGAACCATTAATGTCTGTACAGTGTGTATGCTCGTGAGGCAGTGTCCCCACAACTAAAGGTGAGGAAAAACCTATTAGTTTGCTGCCCATTTTCTAATGAGAACATTTCTGCCCCAGACAATGCTCATTTGTCAACTGATCCATAAATCCCCACTGTGGAGGCTCAACTCAGGGCTATGTTAAGTTAATGCATGCAGAAGCTTCAAGGACTGCAATGATGTCATACTCAGTGAAAAAAGTTTAGGATTTAATTTCTTTTCACATTTATTCTTGGGACTTATATTAGCTTAAGTTCATTCAAACTGCTCTTGCCAATAGTTCCATTTTAGTTTCTTCCATTATGGGAAGAAGACCAAGCCCTCTGCAGCATCAATCACTGTTCTAGGTCTCAGAAGGGACCATGGGGTTCACCGGCACCTTAGGCCCAATGTGCAAAGAACTTCTCCCTCCCTCTGCTTTCTTGGTTAGCCCCATAGCAGTTACTACAGTTTCTTACACTAGCACCAGGTATTTGGAAGCCCCTAAATCATGGTGGGGAGGGGGAAGGTAAGGATGAAGACTTCTGCCTGAAGTGGCTTCCATAGGTATTAGAGGTATTAACAAGCAGGGAGGTGCTCCAGGTCATGTAAGTCTAAAAACAAAGGGTTAAACAACAGGCTTTCCTAGCCTTTAAAATGCTAATAAGCGCTCAGACTCCCTAGCAACTAGTATTACAAATGTGCACTGTTCCAGGACAAAGAGGTTTGGTTTAACCCTTTATTTTTCTTGCCACTGGAGAGATCATGAAAAAGAATTACATTACACAGTCTCTGAACTCTATTCCATCATTCTACTAAATGATTCTTTGTCTCACATGTTACTTCTCTCCGTTTACTGCTGTCACCAACTGGACTCTTGGTAACTTGACAGCAAGGGCAGTTGGCCCCAGTTCCCTATGGTAGCTTGCCACAAAATGCGTGTTGCCTGTGTTGACTAATGAAGCAAGTAAGCAAGTGTGAATGCTTGGAGACTTGGTGACAACTATTTTCTTTTTCAAATGATTTGGCTAAGTCAAGGTTTACACAAACAAAGTACAACAAAAACTGAAGCCCACATTTGAATCTGAACCCAAGAAGCGACTGAGGTAGGACAGGGAATTTTTGTACTCATTCACTCAACAGATGTACATTAAGTGCTCACCTGTTCTAAAGGATGGACATACCCAAGTAAACAAAAACAAAGTCTTGCTCTTAGGATGATTATATTCTAGTTGGAGGAGACAGACCACAAACAAACGGACTAACACACAATATGTCAGGTGGTAAGGACTATGAAGAGAAATACAGAAGGGAAAAAAGGGATGAGGGGGTGGAAACTGCTGTTGTTTTAGAAATGATGGTCAGGGAAGTTTAATATGGTGACATTTAATATCTATGTCTAATAAGGTGACATTTAAGAAGAGACTTGAAGTGTGAGAGCAAACCACGTGGCTACAGTGAGGAGAACATTTCGACAGAGGGATTTAAAAACGCAAAGGCCCTGAGTTTGCAATGTACTTGGCACATGCGAGGAACAGAAGAATAAACAGACACCAGTGTGCAGACTGAGTGATGGGAATAGCAGCTGAGGTCAGAAAGGGACCCAGGAACAAGATTATGTGGGCTTCACAGGCCCTATACTCCATTCTGAGTCAGTTGGTGAGTTGTGAGTGAAGGACTGCCATACTGCTCACGTTTGAAAAGCATCACTCTGACTTCCACGTGGAGATTACACTGCAGAGGAGCAAGGTGGAAGCAAGGAGACGGGAGGATCCTTCAACAGACCAGGAAAAAGATGATGGTGGCTGGCACTAAAATATCCAAATGGGGCAGGGAAGAAGTGAGAGCTGCTAAGAAGCTGACAGGATTTGCTGATGGGCTGTCTGATGTGGGATATGAGAGGAGACAGAGGTTTTCTTCTCAATAACTGGAAGAATGAAGTTGTTCACTGTTGTTCAAAAGTAGGAGAGGAGCAGGTTTTGGGGGAGAATACCCCTTCAGATTTTATCAGGTTAAGCTTGAAATGCCTAATTAGACTTCTGAGTGGGATGTCGATTAGGCAGTTGTACGTACAGTATGGTGTTCAGGGGAGAAGTCTGGGCTGGAGATTTATAGACTTTATTTTCTTTTATTTTTTTAAAGATTTTATTTATTTGTCCGAGAGAAAGAGAGAGAGAGTGCACACAAGCAGGGAGAGCGGCAGGCAGAGGGAGAAGCAGGCTCCCCGCTGAACAAGGAACCCAATGAGGGACTTGATCCCAAGACCCTGGGATCATGACCTGAGTCGAAGGCAGACGCTTAACTGACTAAGCCACCCAGGTGTCCCTGGGCTGGAGATTTAAATTGGGGAGTCATACACATCGGGATAGGCATTTATAGCTGTAAAGTAGACAGCATAACCAAGGGAGCAAGTAGATAGAATTAGCTCTGAGGCCCTCAAATGGAGCTCAGGGAGATGAGGAAGATCCAGCAGAGGACACTAAGAGACAGGATGAGAGTTACCTTTCTCAAGAGAGAAAGTTGTTCCCCGAAACTAAATGAAGAATAAGCTTCAAGAAAGAATAAATGCCCAAATATGTCAAATGCTACCAACAATCACCGCATTTGGCATTGTAGAGGACACTGATGACCTTGACAAGACTACTTCTGGTAAAGTGGTAGGGATGAAAGCCTGACTGGTCAACAAGAGAAAGAGAATAATCGTTAGAGTCTTTTAGAGAATTTAACTGTAAAGGGGAGCAGACCTGTCAGGAGGACTGTGTTTTTTCCAAGACACATTTAAATGCTTAGATGTAGGTATGGAGCTAGAGTTTAGCTGGATTTCATTAGGGAGCGTTTTGCTACCAGGGCCAAGTGCAACAGAGGGAGAGCTGGGCAAGGGAGTGGAGAGTGTCTCTCTAAGGCAATAACGATAATCATGGACCGTGGAATCTAAAGTGAATTTAGGAAGCTGGGATTAGAACATATTAGGAGACTAAATTCTTCTTGCATGTCATATAGACAGTTTCATTTCTACCTAATTTACACACGGTCCTCACTGAGAGCTACACAGTTCTCTAATGGGAAGATTTCCCCTCACCTTTCAGTGAACTTTAGGAGAATATGGTCTTAAGTTTTCAACTTTAACTGCCTTACTTATTATGTTGTCAGATCAAACGGCTTCCCTGTCATTAGAACCAAGACACAACCTAATTAAAAGCCTTATAAAACTCAAGTGAAGTGTGAAAAGTTCAGCAGCCAGGATTTGGGGGGAAAATGACATTAGTGAGATAATTCTAAGCAGAATGGGCAAGATGAGGCCACTGAAAATCTAGAGATTCAAAAAGCTGGCTGAGGCAGAACAGCCTGAGAAGTCTCAAAACCTCTGCTGTTGCTTTCAAACATGCTGTTCAGGCTCTAGTGAATTCTGATATTTAGCCATTCTTGCTTTAAATTTTTAGGATTTTTAAGTGTGTTTATAAAGAACACTTTTTTTTTTTTTTAAGTACCCATTTCTGTATCTGTTCCAGGGAAACTCTGCTACACACAGGAGTTGATCAAGTTCTTCAGATATGCTGGCGGTGGGATGGGAAGGTTGGGGGCCACTAGATCACTTTCCTGCACTGTAAACGTACAAATTTACCTTAAAAATAACTTGAAACTTAAAGGATTTAGAAGTCATTATTTCTCTTTGCTATCACATAAAATTCAGTTCCATCAACTTGCAAATGCCAGTAGCCAATACTCTTCCATTTTGATTGTGAAGGCATGACTGTTCTTATGTGCTGCAGGGATCAGGGATGCTCATATATAAAAACTTACTTACTTGTTGTTTCCCATTGCACCTTGCTGCCAGGCCTTCATGTCTGGTGACTGGTACCCAGAAGAGGGTGGAGTTGGCTGGAGCAGAGAGCTCTGAGGAGGAGGAATTGGCATCGGCACCATGGAGCTCCCCGGGCTCAGAGATGGAGCAAAGTTGGCCTCACCTTGGGGAACCATTCCTGCAAATTGACACAAATTAATTTATGTGAATACACTATAAATTTATTATTCCCATAAAAGAGAACCACCCCGCCCCCACGAGGATCTGTCATAATATAGTTAGAAATAGCCTATTCAATAGAGTAGGGAAAACATTTCAGTCTCTTCAAAATAAGGCAGGAAATTTCAGTATAAACAGACAGAAAAGTAAACATAAGTTTGGAAGAATGCCTTCTATTCATTAACATATTGATTTGGGTACCAGGATTACGTATAATTTTTTTCTTTTTTTTTTTTTAAAGATTTTATTTATTCATTTGAGACACAGAGATACAGAGAAGGAGAGAGAAAGCATGAGCAGGGAGAGAGGCAGAGTCAGAGGGAGAAGCAGGCTTCCCGCCGAGCAGGGAGCCCGATGTGGGGCTCGATCCCAGGACCCTGGGATCATGACCTGAGCCGAAGGCAGACGCTTAACCATCTGAGCCACCCAGGCGCCCCTATGTATAATTTTTTTCTATTCTTTTTGCTTACATGGATTTTTAAGTGTAAAAAACATACATGAACATATACGACAGATTACTTGCATAATAAAATAAGTTAGAAAAAGGCAAGACAAACACCTGTGTGAAATGAAAAATGAGAAGAGTTTTGTTGTCCATGCCTCAGTCATCTCTGTGGGTTCTTCTTTCTTTCCCTGTCTTTTATCTTTAAGCTTTACTGAGATATCATCTACACAGCCTCAAATTCACCCACCGAACTGCACAACTCAATGATTTTTTAGTCCATTTATAGAGCTGTGCTCTAAATTAGCACAGTGCAGTTTGGGCATTTCCATCCCCCGCATGTCTCCCCGTGCTTGTCTGCAGTCAATCCTCTCTCCTACCCCTAGCCTCAGGCAACCACGGATCTGCTTTCTGTCTCCTTAAGTGTGCCTTTTGGGGGCAATTTCATATAAATGTAATCATATGAGATCTTTTGGGTCTAGCTTCTTTCACTTAGATAATGTTTCTGAGGTTCGACCATTCTGTAGAATTTATTGGTAGTTTGTTCCTTTCTTTGCAGAATGATGTTTATTAGCAGCTATTGATATAATTATGTTAAAAATCAAATGGCCATAATATTAACAATTTACTTCTGGATTTTTAGGTTGTTGCAGTAGTCCGTATGTCCACACCTGTACTAATACTATATTGTCTTGATTGATGTGACTTTATGGTAATTTTTGAAACGATAGTCATCCAACTTGGCTTTTCTTTTTCAAAACTGTCTTGGCTACAGTTTTTTTTTTTTTTTTTGCATTTCCATAGAAGTTTTAGGAGAAGCTTATCAATTTCTCCAAAAAGCACACTGACATTTTGATTGCTTTGAATTATAAGATCAATTTGGAGTAAATCTGCCATCTTTTCAGTCTTTTTCTGATTTCGTTTTGTACAGTGTCCACTGTTGTATCTTCAAGTTCACTAATTTTTTCTTTTGTAATGTCTAATCTCCTTATCCCATCTAGTATATTTTTCATCTCAGACATTACAGTTTTTGTCTCCAGAAGTTTGATTTTGGTTTTATTTATGTTGTCCTTGACTTAATATGTTCAAGCTTTCCTCTAGCTTTTTGAACATACGGAATAAATGTATAATTTTTAATTGTCTCAATGTCCCGTCTACTCATTTTATCATTTGTGTGATTTCTGGGTTGGTTTTGATGACAGAGTTTTCTCCTCATTATTGGTTTTATTATCCTGCATCTCTGCATGCCTGGTAATTAAAAAGACCAGATCCCAGACCTTGTGAATTCTACCTTGTTAGGTGCTGGATTTTTAAAAGTCCTTAAAAAAAAAATTATATATATATATATATATAAAAATATATATATTTATAAATATAAATTAAATATATATATATTTTTTTTTTGAGAGGGAGAGAGAGAGAGAGCGAGTGTATGTGAAAGGGGGTGGCAGGGCAGAGGAAAACGGAGAAAGTCTTAAGCAGGCCCCATGTCCAGAGTGGAGCCTGACACGGGGCTCGACGCAGGGCTCAATCTCACAATCCTGAGATCATGACCTGAGCTGGAATCAAGAGTTGGATGCTTAACTGACTGAGCCACCCAGACACCCCTAAAGGGTCTTTAAATATTTTCAACCTTTGTCTGGGTTGGTTACATGGAGACAATTTAATTCTTTTGGGTCTTGTACCTTAAGAGACAAGAGCAAAGTTTAGGGCTTATTTTGGCTGCTACTAAGACAAAACTCTTCTGAGTATTTTACTTGACACCCCATGAATCATGAGGTTTTCTATTCTTGCTGGTGGGAAGAGAAATTGGCCCTGTGCGAACTTTGCAGATTGTTCCCCATTATCTTTCCAGGTGGTTTTCCCTGGCCTTGGTTTGTGCGCGTGTGCGTGCGCGCACACACACACACCCTGAGTGGGACCCTGTGCACATCCCTGCAGTTCCTTGTGGCTCTCTCTCTTCTTTGGTCCTGTGCCCTGAGACCTCGAGTTGCCCTGGCTTTCCTGGACTCCCAGCTCCATGGGCTCAACTGAGGGAAACCACTGGTTCCTTTTGGACTCCCTCTCCACGCAGCATGGTCTGGATAATTTTGAAAACTATAGTTCAATGTACTTTCATTTTTTTTGTTTGTTTCAGGTCTTCTAATGTTGGAGGAAGTACTTCTGCAGGTTAGAATAAAGTGAAAAAGCCTTGTCAAGTTCTCTGCATACAGAAGTCGTAAGACACATGAAAGTGGCCTTCAAAAGGTTCAGACAATATTGTAATTAAACTATGAATTTATAATCCTTTTCTTGCCCATACAGATAGTGTCAGCGATATAAACCAGCCAAAGATGACTTCATTGTCTTGAGGACAAAGGAAGTGATGTGACATAATTTTGAGTAAAAGATCTTAGAGAATTCTGGTGCTGTCTGACACAAGTCTCCCTGGGTAACTTAATTTAATAGTCAAAGGATTTTAGCACTTGTTGCCACCAGAATGAAAGTCTAAATTGATTTGGCTGTCAAAGTTGATAAGCATATTGCTATGTAAAAAAAAAATCTCTATGTATCCTCAGCATTTTATTCAAGTCAAATAGCAGTCTTCTCATGGAAATTCATTTTTAGGCAGACTTATAATTTACTTTTTCTTTCATTTAGAAAATGAAGGGATTTATTTCAATTTTTTCCCCAGGAATCTGCCATTAATTTTGCATCAAAGTTTGATTAAACATCGTGGATTAATCAAATGTGTTTTATTGCCACTACCCATCAGAATCTGAAAGTGATAGAAGTAAAATTTAAAAGGACATCATCACCTAGGACAAAGAGAATGGAAGAGAGACAATGCAAACAAAAGATTAAAAAAGAAAAACCTTCTGGAAACCAGGAAGTTCCTGACACTGCAGAGGACGAGCTTTCAACTTAAGCAGCTAAGAGTGCTGACACCATTGAGAAGCCGAGACGCTTTGTAAAGATGGGTCATCCCCCTATAAACTATCAAAAACCAAGTCTCCAACATAATGAAAAAACTGTATGCACATTTTGAGTTAATGTACTTCAACCCATCGTCTGAAGTGGATTTTCATAAGATTCTTACAGGGATCCATGACAGAAAGTAAGGAAGTTAAGAGAATGTACCCTGCAGACAAAATGCAAAAAAATTTAGAATCAGACAGGTCCTTCTGGATCCTCTGATTAATCATCTTAGCTATCAGTGAGTGATAAGCCTCCAACCATTTAACCACTAGTGGCAAGAGAGGGGTCCGGAGCCCCGATCTCCTGACTCCCATCAGCGCACTGGAACACCAGGGCCGTTATGTATGCTTATGAGGTGCAATCCCTGTACCTGATCCTGGATACTGGAAGACATTCTGCTGCATCTGAGGATTGATTCCAGTGCCAAACTGTCCTCCCATGTTTCCTGCCATGCCTCTGTTCACCATGCTGTTGCGGTTGGCCAAAGTTGACTCAGGATTTGCTGCCAGTTGTGAAAACGGGCTGGTTGAAGCAGGTGGGGTTCCTGGATTTGTACCATAGTTTGGGGGGTAGGGAAATTGCTGCGGAGCACCCTGAGGAAGACGGGGGTTCCCCATTTGAACTGGCAGTCCAGATGAGGGAGGGAGGTTGTTCCCAAAGCTTTGTTGCCTCATGAGCATGGCTCTTTGCTGCTGTATTAGCTGCCTCTGTCGGTGCTGTTGGCTGTACAACTCCCGCTGGCGCTGTGCCAACATCTGGGCGTTCAGGGGTGGCTGGAGAGGAGAAAACAAATCCTCACTTATTAATATTGTTATCATCACCACCTACTTTGGAGAGCTTACAGGATAAAGCCTCGTAGCTTGGGGCAACAAAATATGTAGCAATTATCACTATGACTTCGAACTTATCTGACGTTAGGTTGTTAGGAGACTTTTTTTCTTTTTCATTTCCCCAAAATTGACCGTGTTTCTTAGTTCCCTTCTTTTCTTACTGAGATCATTTGTTCCACTTTACTTAAATGAACAAAATGTGATTATAGTTGATTTTAATTTTCTTCATCATACTTTCCTGTATTTTCCAAATTATTTATAATGAACATGCATTATCTTTACAATTGGAAAACCCTACAAATACCATTTGAAAAAGGAAGAATCAGAAATCCAGGATCCAAAGGCAAACAAATTGTTATTTAAAAAGAAAATAGGGGCGCCTGGGTGGCTCAGTCGTTAAGCATCTGCCTTCGGCTCAGGTCATGATCCCAGGGTCCTGGGATCGAGCCCCACGTCGGGCTCCCTGCTTAGCGGGAAGCCTGCTTCTCCCTCTCCCACTCCCCCTGCTTGTGTTCCCTCTCTCGCTGTGTCTCTCTCTGTCAAATAAATAAATAAAATCTAAAAAAATAAAAAAAGAAAAAGAAAAAGAAAATAGTTAGAAATAAAATAATAAACAGAAATAAATGGAACCAGCTATTAAAAAAAAAAGATTTATTTATTTTAGAGAGAAAGCATGAGCAGGGGGAGGGGCAGAGGGAGAGGGAAAGAGAGGGAGAGAAGCAGACTCCCCACTAAGCACGGGGCCAGACATGGGGCTCGATCCCACAACCCTGAGATCATGACCTGAGTCAGATGCTTAACCAACTGAGCTACCTGGGGGGCCCCACCAACTATTTTATAACATTGTTGCAGTAAAGACTACTCCAGGTGTTAGAGTATGTTTTAATAGCTATAATACTAGGAATGACAAAAGCAGCAGTAAAATTAGGTTAAAATCACTTTTTGATCTAACTTGTAAAGCAACATGGCATGTCAATAAAGCCTTCCTCAGAAAATTTCAATTCAGATTGAGGATCTGATCAAAGCATATAGTTCCTTCAAAATTAAACTTGCCAACTAGATATAGTCCAATCTAGAAGAAACTGTGACATATGACTTTCTAATAGAAATCATCTTTACGTGAATTCCAAAAGTGGGGTCTTATTTCCTTATAACCTAATTACCCTTGCATGAGCTAATCACTGAGATTTTTAAGACATGGAAACCCAAGTATGAATCCATGAAGATGCCAGTATCTGCTGCTTAACAGCAGTTTCTTTTCTTTTCTTTTTTTCTTTTCTTTTCTTTTTAGAGAGAGCAAGAGGGGGAGGAGCAAAGGGAGAGGGAGAGAAAACCAAGCAGACTCCATGCTGATCGTGGAGCCAACAGGGGGCTTGATCCCAAGACCCTGAGATCATGACCTGAGCTGAAACCAAGAGCTGGATGCTTAACTGACTGAGCCACCCAGGTGCCCCCATTAACAGTAGTTTCTGTCAATATTTACCCTTTTGGTTACGGTTGGCTTCCTGTTTTTGCCCCAAATCCATCTAGATACATTTTATGGAGAAAAGTTTTGTGTGTGAGTCCTGTCTAAAATTCCTCATCTCTCAAATTTTTGTGTCACCTTGGTTAAGAAAACATAAAAAAGTGGTTGAAACAAAAATACTAAAGTATGTGTGGAAGTTAAGTAGGGATTGAGTACCAGACAAGACTTAGAAGGCTATCTACTTCTTTTTGTGTTTAAAGTTTCAATGGCACTGGTTTCATGTACAAGGATTGTTAAAATAAATAAAAAACAGAAACTGCTCATGCTCAGACTGAGGCAGAGAACACAAGGTAGTTAAGATCACTCAGCAATGTGACTGAGTTTTGATCAGGTTTCAGGTACCATTCACACAGTTTCTTATCTAGGAGTCTTATTACTGGCCCTATTCAGGATAGCAATAAGAGTGTTCTACTGATTCATCTGGTATCTAATAGCAATGACAACAACACCAATAAAACCAAACAAAGGACTCTTGGCTTTAGATCAAATATCAGTAAGGGGTATCACAAGTTGATTATAAATTCATTCTAGAAGAAAGCTGTACTACTACCTTAAAAGATCAATTCACAGATCATTTCGGACACTCAAGTCAACACTTTAAGAAACACAGCTTGGGTTAGAGAAGTACTAACAATGTCTGGTCTTCTCACATTACCTGAGGTGTAATTTGCTGCTGCATGCCTGATCTCATATTGATGCCAACTGGAGCATTTGCTGCAAACTGGTTCAAGATAGCTTGCCGATTTTGGTGGATCAACTAGAGAAAAATGGAACAATGAGATATCATATTTCTACATACAAACATATACTTTGGCCCTTACAGAGTAACACAAACTTTTTATTGATTACTAACAAGTTTTAGTATTACAGGTTTAGTAAGATTATTTCCCATGTTTATCTGTCAAAAGGCTGGCAATTCCTAACATTTATCAAATATTTCCTGCCTATAGCACACCAAATAGGACAGAGCATTTAAAAGCAGAATCCATACACATGTGCATATATATATGCACAGAGGTATATACACACATACATACATATATTGTACTTTTATTTTTTATTTTTTTTAAGTAGGCTCCACGCCCAGTGTGGACCCCAATGTGAGGCTTGAACCCACAACCCCAAGATTAAGACCTGAGCTGCAATCAAGAGTTGGATGCTTAACCGACTGAGCCACCCAGGCACCCCCATCTATCACACTTTTAAAATCATGCTAATACTGGGCGCCTGGGTGGCTCAGTTGGTTAAGCGACTGCCTTCGGCTCAGGTCATGATCCTGGAGTCCCTGGATCGAGTCCCGCATCGGGCTCCCTGCTTGGCAGGGAGTCTGCTTCTCCCTCTCCCGCTCCCCCCTCTTGTGCTCTCTCTCTCACTCTCTGTCTCAAATAAATAAATAAAATCTTTAAAAAAAAAAATCATGCTAATACTTAGTTATTTCAGATAAGTACAATAATGGAGAGAAAAGAAACACCATCCCTACAACTTAAACTACTCTGAGTATAAAAGTAGGTACATAATAGGGCACATTCTACAAAGGTCTGGAAGATTAATGGAAAAGTTGAGGTACTTCTCACTTGGAGGCTGACTGTCGGATGGGTACATATTTGGGGAAATCCAACATGATTTCATTCGTTGGGGAGAATTATGTAAGAAACAAATGGTTTGAGAAAATAGACTATTTATTTAACTAGAAGAAGTAATTACTTTAGACCAGCATTTCCCAAATTGGTGTTCTAAAGAACACTGTTCTGCAGGATATTAATAGATGTGCCAGGAAAATAGCATGCTGTGCTGTATTAAGTATTGGAAATGATGGGTTACACAAGGTGAAACAGATTTCTTTACTGCAGTAATTCTATGAGACTTTAATTGGCCAAAGCACACTGTGGATCTTCAAGAAGGGGATATACTATGCAACTTGTTTTCACGAACCTTTTTTTTTTTTGCCCTGACACACATTAACATTTATCTCCTAGAACAATTTTGTATGGAACACTAGTTTGGAAGATGCTGTCTGTATCAGGCTTAGAATTTCAGGGCATTGGCATGCCTTAGCTTCATCAGGTAACAAAACAAGCATCCTGGGAAGTGATATTTCCTGATAAACAATCTATAGCTTAAAGAATTTCTTGCTCAATCATTTGATGTGAATAAACTGTTCAGAGAGATAATAACAATATCAATCCTATTTTGTATTTATATGGTACTTTATAACATAAATTACTAATAAATATATTAACACTCCATATATTTTAATATATTTTATATTTTAATACATTTAATATATTTTAATATATGAGATGCAAACTAGAAAGACTGTGAAAGTTTTATAAAAGAATCCAAATTGCTGTGAGCAGTGATTAAATCTCCCATCTCCAAACAGCTCAATTCTTAATTCTGGTTTCATTAATTTTCTGACTCCCATCAGATCAGAAAACAAACTGTTTTTTGGGGAAAAGCTCATTTTACTATAAATGTAAAAATTAAAACTTTCAGGCATTCATGGAATAGGATAGAACATTCAGAATCGCTTAAAAAATAAAGATATGAACATTATGGTTTTAAAAGTCAAAGGGACTCTTGGGACGCCTGGGTGGCTCAGTCAGTTAAGGGTCTGCCTTCAGCTCAGGTCCCGATCCCAGGGTCCTGGGATCAAGCCCCGTGTGGGGCTCCCTGCTCAGTGGAGAGCCTGCTTCTCCCTCTCCCTCTGCCCCTCCCCCCGGCTCATGCTCACGCTCTTTCAAATAAATAAAATCTTAAAAAAAAAAAAAAAAAGATAAGTCAAAGAGACTCTTAAGTACAAAAATCTACGTACTTCTTAAATTCTACAGACCACAGACATAAGTTTAAATAAACCATTAATTTTACAAAGATTTATCAAAAAATTAAGTATATGCAAGGTAATACATAAGGTTTGAAGGCTACAGAGGTGAGCAAATCTCTGTCCTCCAGGAATTCTCTGTTGAGTGGCAGAGGCCAATACAGAAGGGCGCCACCTATGAGTGCTACACTTGCATATCCAGACAACTACGAGGCACTTAGCCAAGAGCAGGAAGGCAGGGACCAAGAGTATGAGTGCACTCAATGGGACCTTGAAAGATGAGAATGCCAGGTGGCAAGAAGGATGGTAGAGTTAACTTAAGGCAGAAAGTACAGCAAGTCTAGAAACAGAAGACGAGGCAATGAGGATAGGGGAAAATACATTAATCTCAGTGACGAAGAGAAGTAACATAGCCAGGGGAGTGAGTGGGAGTTGGGTTTCCAAACTTACAGCTTTATATATTCTTTGATTGTGAGATAACGTGAGAATGAAATGGGTGGGGATGGAGGAAAGATGCTGGAGAAGTAGTAAAAATGAGAAAATAACCTTAGGAAATAAATTACAACCTTAGAAAATAGCCTATTTAGGCTATTTTTAGAAGTAGAAGAAATTATTCTAAAGCACTTTCTGTTAAAGAAAAATTTATCTATTTCTGCCCTTGAAATAATTCTTTTCATTTCCCCCTCTCCTCTCTCTGTGTACAACCTGACTAATGCTGTATAATACAGCTGTCTCACTCTGACCTGCCTCTTCTCTCTGATTACTAAAATGCTACTCATTATCTAACAAGCAGGTCAAGTTCTATTCTTCCTAGGAAGTCTTCCCAAAAGGATCACCATATCCTTTAACTCCTTGGAAATCTTGACTTTTGGTCAGTGGGAGGAGAGAGAGAGGTCAGGAGTCCTCAGAGCTGGGGACATAAATTCAAAAGTCTATAAAGGCCAGGTCAAAAGGCTTGTATTATAAAAGGAAATGTGGGGCTTGTGGCCAGTGAACAGTACAAACTCAGCCTACACATATAAAACACACACATACCCAGAGTTCGGGCTGGCTGACATTTTGTCTGTCTGAATGGATTTTTTTTCAATGCCTTATCAAGAAGTCCTTCCATAGGAAACCTAAAAGATGATTATCTAGCCTAGAGGTTCTCAACCAGGGATGATTCTGCCCCACAAGAGAAATTTAGCAATGTCTGAAGACACTTTTGGCTGCACAACTTGGGGAAAGGTTGCTACTGGCATCTAATGGGTAAAGGTCAGGGATGCTGTTAAACATTCTTAAATGAATGGGGAAGCCCCCTATAACTAGAATTATCTGTCCCAAAACGGCAATAGTGCCAAGACTGAAAACCCTAATTTTGCCACCGTGTAAATTCTTGACAAGGAGTTCTTTTATTTATTTATATATATTTTTAATGATTTTATTTTATTTGAGAGAGAGAGTATGAGAGGGGGGAGGGTCAGAGGGAGAAGCAGACTCCCCACCGAGCAGGGAGGCCGATATGGGACTCGAGCCGGGGACTCCAGGATCATGACCTGAGCCGAAGGCAGTCGCTTAACCAACTGAGCCACCCAGGCGCCCATTTTTCTTTTTTTAAGATTTTATTTATTTACTAGAGAGAGCGTGCGTGCGCGGAGGGAGAGGGTGAGAGAATCTGAGCGCAGAGCCCCACATGGGGCTTGATCCCATGACTTCGAGATCATGACCTGAGCCAAAACCAAGAGTCAGATGCATAACCGACTGAGCCACCCAGGCACCCCGACAAGGGATTTATTTTATTTTTTTTAATTTATTTATTATTTATTTATTTAAAAAAGATTTTATTTGACAGAGAGAGAGACAGCGAGAGAGGGAACACAAGTAGGGGAAGTGGGAAAGGAAAAAGCAGGCTTCCCGCTGAGCATGGAGCCTGATGCGGGGCTCGATCCCAGGACCCTGGGATCATGACCTGAGCCGAAGGCAGCCGCTTAACTGACTGAGCCACCCAGGCCCCCCAAGGGGTTTCTTTTAAAGAAGATATTCTTCTATCAGGCAGTTTTCATTGCCAGAAATTCTAGAGGTGAAATTAGCTTCCCTGTATCTTCTGCCCTTTGATCTTAGTTCTACTTTCTGGTCACTTCTATTTTCTCTAATATATAAAAAATAATCAATAGTGGTTCTTCTACCAGATCCACACATTTCTCCAGTACTCTAACACATAACACATGTGGACTTCACTTGTTTTAAGATGGCTAAGTATATCACATTTCTTTATGTGTCTCCAATGTTACTCTCCCTTTTCATAGTATTCTTTTCTTGAGAGTATGAAGACCCTGGCTGGAAAAGAAGAATACAAAACTAGAACAGAATAATTACATCTTTTATGAGCCAATCTTACATAATTTCCTACAAGCAGCAGGTCTACCCATTTTGCTGTTGTCCTTTTCTCAAAATAGAACTTTAAGAATTCTTTACTGGTATCATGGATATATTTTTTTGAGACTTTGCTTATTTGACATGTGAGCAGACACTACACCTAAAGACTTCATTACAACTTTGTATTTCTTCTTCATCACCAGCTCCCTCCTTCATTTTTGCTGTTCTTTAAAAGTTTCAACCAATGAATCTCTGTGTTTCCTAGGGTGTTTTTTCCTCCCCCTGTCCCCCAACTGGGGATTATTCATAACTGTATAATCAAATTTAAAATCTTAGAATCTTTTTACTCCTTGTTTACTACATTCCAGTCAATGAGATATACTTACAGTCAAGAAATATGCTTTTAAACTGATCTTAAAATCCATTAAAAAGAAAGAAACTATGATGTAGATCTGAGTTTGCACCTTTTTTCCCCCAAATCATCAGGCACTGTCCTAAATTCCTGCCTATGAGATGCTTGTACTTCCTGTGTTTGGCAAGAGGGAAGGAGGAATGAGAGGACCTGACCAACAAGTAAACAGATGGTATCAATCTAGCAAGGTAAGTGTATTATGAACACAACGTTATGAATCTGATGTATTCTGGATACTAATCCTTGTCAGTTATACAGGGTTGCAAATATCTTCCCTGAGTCTATGTTTAACCTTGTTTATGTTGTCTTTTATCTTACTAAGTTTTAAATTTTAATGCAAACATCAATCTTTTCCCCTTATGCCTTTTAGGGGCCACATAAATCTTTTCATATTCACATTTAGATCATTAAAATACCTAGAATTTATTTTTGTGGATGGTATGAGATAAGGAATCTAATTTAATTACTCCCCCTCAAGGACAGTCCAACGTACTAGCATTTATTATACAGGCCATCCTTTCTCCACTGACTGCCACCTCTGTCTCTTACTAAGTCTTTCTATACATCTGGGTGTGTCTCTGGGTTCTCTATGACGTTCTGGTTGGTAGAACTGTCTATGCCTATGCTGGTTCCACATTGTTTTAATTTCTAAAGCTTGATTTTAGATCTTGGTATCTGACAGGGCAAGTTCATTCTCATGATTCTTTAAGGTTGTATTCATGCTTCTAAAATAAAGTTAGCATTTATTTGTTAGATTTCATGTTGAGATTTTGATTGGAATTCTACTGAATTTAATTAATTTCAGAACAACTGCCATCTTTATGATAGTCTTTCCATTCACTAATATCTTTACTTGGACCTTTTTTTGACTTTCAATTACGATTTGTAATTTTCGAAGTCTTACAAATTATGAACATATTTTGAAATTATATTTTCTAATTGGTTGTTGCTAGTGAAAAGGACTGCTATTAATTTTTATTTGCTTTTTTTTCCCTAGAAACACTGCTGAATTCCTCTACTGATTCTAAGTTCCCTGTAGATTCTCTTGGATTTTCTATATAAGCAGTTGTATTGTTTGTATATGATTATTTTGTGTCTTTGTCACGTTTGCTTTCTATATTTCAAAATCACTTAATTTTTAGTGTGCCAATGATATTCTCTTTTTTTTTTTTGCACTAATATGAACTTATTCACTTAAAATATAAAACCTGTAGAAAGGGCAGACATTCTACCTCAGTTCACCAATCTGATCCAACTGTGAATTTACCTGTATAACTTTAAATAATATATTTAAACCTTAATTTCTTGATTTTATCAGGTATTTTATTGCCAGCCCACAGCCATTTACCCTTCTCTTTTTCCTCAATGAAAGCATAGGATTTTTGTTCAGCTGATTATCCCAAATCACATGTCTCAAGGGGCAACCTATGTACCCTAAGCCAATCCTTGCCCGCAGTTGGTTAAGGGTGTATATATGACTCCATTCAGGCTAGCCAGATGTGTGAAATTTTTTAAAAAAAAGTTTGGTCCTTTTTCTTTTTTTGGAGTGGTAGGGAATAGAAAAGGAGAAGAAAAGATTTCTCGGCTTTTGAAATAAAGATGAGTAGGAAAGAGTCCCCTTTCTCCTGTTAGTTTTGTTTGCATGTGGTATTTGTAACCATGGGAGCCATTTTTCTAGCTGCCAAGGATTACAGAGTAAAAAGACAGAAAGAACCTAAGTCCCTGATAACATTCTGGAGCCTCTGAGGCAACACACCTTGACCTCTCTATTTCGTAGCATCTCATTATCGGAGTCAAAATGCTTTTTTAAAATGGTTTTACAACTTTGAATGGATCTTTTTTTCTTTCCTTGTTGCTGAAAGCATCTTAACTGAAATACTGACAGACATAAGCCTTGGCCAGACTTTCTCACAGAAGACTCCAAGTGGACACACAGAGAAGTGGACACACACAGAAGACTCCAAGCATTTGCAGAGTAAGAGCCACCATGGACTGAGGGCCCCGCTGTTAAAAAGAACTTACGGTCCAGAACCCAAACAGTAGGTCTGGCTGATGAAGCTCATTAGGTAGCAGAGTACCGTCTTACACAGCAGTATAAGCTGTTTTGTGTACTGACATATCTGGGGGCTTAAAATTTTGTATTTCTCTCACTTGATGGATATTTCACTCTGTTGGGCTACCCTGGCCACCAAACTTTGGACATGCCTCCGTAATGTTCACAGGGAGCCAAGTTCAGCTACCTGCAGCCTTATTACACGTGTATCCTTTGCATTGCTACTCTGCTTATCAGCTGCTTTAGGAGGAAATCAAAGTAAAAGCAATTTTTTCCCCAAACTACGTGTGAATGATTATTTCACCCATTCACAAACCTGACTTAGACTGTTGATCTAGCATTGCTCAGTAAGCCTTTAATTTTAGTCAGCATTTACTGACTCTATCCTGTAAAATGAGAAAATCAGCACACCTAGGTTTTCCTCTCCTTTTTGGGGTAGCCCTTAATCACTTACTACCTGCACTGTTATTTCACTTTCCAGGTGTGTATGTTTGGAATGCCCTAAGCTGACTGTAAGTTCTAAAAGTTGCCTGTATCTCTTATTCTTTGTATTCCTCATAGTACCTAGTAGAGTCTCCCCAAATATGTTGTGTGGGCACTATGTTTTGTGAACTATACGCATTTCTTATTCTTGTGCTTTCTATTGAATAATGAATGACAAGTTATAACAAGAAGTAGTTTACCTTCAACTAATACTCAGAACATATTACTATTTCCTTTCTTTCGCTTTTCTTCCCTCTCTTCCCCTAATTCCTTTCTGAGTTCTTTATTCCACCCCAGCATTTTAAAAATTATTCCTTTCTTTGCTCTTCTACCATTAATAATTTTTTCCTATCTCATCTCTTTTTTTCTCTCCCCCTTTCATCACCTTCTTTTTAAGTGGAATGGAAACTCATATTATTTATTTAATAAAATTTCATAAGAATAGATAGTATTTATTATGTGTTACTGCACTCCTGGCACTGTGCTAAGATCTTTATATGTACTATCTCATTCAATCCACATACCACCTATGAGGTAGAGGAATTATTTATTATATTTCTTTTATCGGTATAATCAGAAATCAGAGGCTTTAAAAGGGCAAATAATTTGACTGTCAAACCACTTAAGTTAAGGTTAGAACTAGGACTTGAAACTCGAGCTCTTATAACATTATATAATATTGCCTTTCTAATATAATTTAGTTCCTTCTTTCTCTTCTTTCCTGAATTTGTAACACTCTAGGAAATTGCTTTAAATACTTTAAAGAAAATCCAAAGCAATATGCACAGACGGTTAAAAAAATACAAAAAGGTTAAGAAGAAGCCACAATCTATAGCCCTGGTCCTGCTTCCCAGAGACAATACCCCCCACCCTTTTTTTTAAGTGGGCTCCATGCCCAGTGTGGAGCCCAACACGGGGTTTAAACTCATGACCCTGAGATCAAGACCTGAGCTGAGATTAAGAGTTGGATGCTTAACCAACTCAGCCACCCAGGCACTACCCAGAGAGAATACTTTTAACCATTTGCTTTTTTGGTTCTTGATGCTTATCTCTGTATTTGCTGCTTATGCAATCTTAAATATTTATGCCATTATACCCACTCATTACCAGTCATGAGAGAGAAGATTTAACTCACCCAACTCCCCAGATCCCCAAACTATCTTTTCCTCATTCTCCTAATATAATAACATCACTAAGCTTCAATCACTCCAACTTCAAACAACATAAATTTCATTTTCTGTTCCAACAATCATAACAGTATCTCTTGATGCTCTACTTTATAAATTAAGCTATATATTTCTCTTTATTAATTTAATACTAATATGTTCATCCTAAATATTTTTTATCTCAAAAAACAAAATTAATTGCTTTTAAATTGTGAGTCTCAAAGTACTTTGTTATGAGCTAGCAGTCTTTAACTGAATGAAAATCTCCTTTATCTTATCCTTGCAGACCAAGGATGGTTTTTTGAGTTTTTCATAAAGGTTGTGGGAACACTTCCACCTGACACCTTTATTCTAGCCACTGAGCTGTGTTAGTACGGCGTGAGTTAGCACAGGCCTTTACAAGAGCCACCTGCTAACCAGGACGACTCACCTGCTGTTGCCCCTGCAAGCGCTGCTGAAGCTGAAGCCGCAGCTGGTTGGGCGCAGCTGGAGGTCTGTTCAGAGTCTGCCGGGGTGGCATGCCCATGCCGGGTGAAAAAGCGCCTCGGGGAGGTGTCACTTGGACAGGCATAGTCCCCAATGAAGGTTTTTGCCTGACCATGCCTTGGAAAGGGCTAGAAAGATTGGCAGTAGGTGAAGGAGAAGAATAAGGCTGGGAATAAAGGTTGGGTCTTTCTTCCATCATCAAAGGTGGTGTTGCTTGTTGTGGTGGAAATCTCTCTGATAAGACATCTAATCCACCTCCCTGTTGGAAAATAAGCCAGAACATTTTACAAATAAATTACTGCCAATAAATGACATGCTTCTTTATATAATCTTGGATCTGAGAATATGTTATCTCTAGAAAATTTTATTATAAAATATTATGCTGAATTCATGAAGCTCTCTAGGAGTTTCCTACCTTAAAGGAATCACTTATGACAGTTACTTCTGAAATGGAGTAACAGATGAACTGAGATGTTTAAAAATCTCAGAAAAGAGATAAAAACATGGTTAAAACACAGGCTAAAATCAATGGAATGAAGCTAAAAGGTTTGAAAAGAACTACGCTGCAAAGCTTAAGAGTCAACAAACGTTACATTTAGTAGTTTACCGTGAGAAGTAGATTATTAAGGAGGGATTAGTTAGGCATTTTTCTATCTCAAATACAGAATTCATGCTTTCCTCTTATTTGGAAAAAAATTCATAGCTGGCCTAACAGAATGCCATAGCTATGGCTTTTAAGACTGATAACTATTATTCATCGTAAAAAATCTAATTTAAATTATGACCTGGTGTGTGTATGTGTGTGCACACGCGCGCACGTGCACATGTGTGTACGTAACTGAAAGGAAAGTTTTATGAAACATAACTTCCCCTTTTTCTGGGCTATGCATTCTGATATATTCTACTACTTAAAAAAATATGGGTCATGAGGCAATAAATTGATTTTTCAACCTCACAGTTTGAAAAAATACCTGGAATTTGGAGTATCATGGAATATACAGGTTGACGTCTAGCACGAATGAAGGATAAATTAAGTCCTAGAATAAGAAGTGATGATATAAATCTGGATTCTATTCTAGTGGGAGCCTCTAAGATTCTGGTCCATAGTGAAAGGCTAAGACTTTCTAATTCTAACTATTTCTAATTATTATGACATTTTTGTTTTAAAAAACTCATTATTTAGCTATATTTAATAACTTTCATAAGAGTAAGTTATAAGACTACTTAAACACAGTGAGAACAATATTGAAAAATCTTGCTTAAAAATAATTTTCTAGCTTCTCAGGGTTGTATCATTTTAATAATGTCAATTTTAATAAATACCTGGACAAGTTTGTCAATTCCCAGAGCTCTATCTAGTTCAGCTAGCTCAGTTTCATCTTTGCCGCTGAGGAAGGACACTAGCTGTTCAAGAAGAGCCTTCTCATCATTTCTTCCTTCTACTGTTGTTGGTGGACAGAGAAGCTCATCTAATTGTGAACTAATACACTGGCTAAAGAATCAAAAGATAAAAGAGTTTAAGACTGATATAGCAAATAAGTTTTCAATCTCAATAACACAAATATATATATATGATACACACATATATGCAAATCTTGTTCTAGAAAATTCTGTCGAGATGCTTTTTCAACCAATTCTCACACAGTGAAATGTTCTATACTTATGTGCAGAAATATAAATGTTCTGTATGTAGCTTGAATATATTCTCACTGTTTTGTCAATCACTGAAATTTGCTTCCATATTCTTCCTCTTAGCTTATAGAAACAGCTTGAAAAATTAACTAAACATAGTTAAGAAAGGGAAAAGAATTCTTGATGAAAGTCAAAAATAAAAATCAATCAAAATCTCAGGGAAAAAAACCATCTAGCCTATAGTAAGATTTATTCTATTTATACTTAACTTTCAAAGATGATCAAATCATATTGATAACATGATTATCACTTACAAAAGAAATCAAACTAGGAAAATGAAACATGCTCAGTGTTAAGCAACAACAACAAAAAATGTTGATTACATGAAGGAAATACACAGTCTAATCCAACTGATACCAAATGATGCATAAAAATCAGAAATATATAGAAAATCACACTAGTAATACAAATATAAGGAATCTTCTTTGGAGAAGGTTAAGTGGGAATACAGTTCATAGTTAAAGCTCTACACCACACTCGACACTGTCTAGTCATCATTTGGTTGCTATGCATGAGATGTACTCTAATGTTTTGAAATGGAGCTACTTATGTCAATTAAGAAATTAAATTCTAATCAAGATGAGACACTTAGTAGATGTAAAAAGTACTTTCCCTTCTTATACCATCTTGCTCCAAAGAGAAACACTGGACAAAATAACTATACAACAAAAAGCTCAAGAGCTTTTATAATAATTGTTATACTGAGCTCAATTCATTTACAGGTCTCAGAAATTTTATAGTAATCAATCAAAGCAAAGCAAGAGATGAAAAAGAAAACAACTGCTGCATATTATATCAATCTTTTGGTAATTACAATACATACTAGCCTTGCAGTCACACAGTAAATTAATCTGTTTAATGTGGTGTCTTCCTCCATCCCCCTTTTTTTCATTAAACATTCACTTCTACTACTATCTCACAAAATACCAATGTAGGCTGGAATCCTGTTTGGGAAAATAGTTCTTTGTTGTAGAAGTTGATATCTGATATTTTATAAAATAGGAAATGTATTACTCACTCTTCTGGTTTATTCTGATTTACAGCAGTCACTGTATTATTTGCCCATGGAATCTGATCACCTGTTCCTGGCTGTCCAAATTGGTTATCAATTGCTTCCAATTCCAGCTCCGGCAATCCTGATTACAGAAGAAAAGGTAAGAAGTCAGTATCATAGTGGAAGATAAAATGACCGTATTTTTCAGAAGCAATATATTGTATAGGAGAATGAGATTTCCCCTATAAAATATATTTCAGTGATACAAAGGTCCCTTATTCAGAAACTTAACTGCCTAGAATGTGGCTACATCATAACCAGTGAGAAAGTTAAGAAAAAGTACTCTGAACCAAAGACAATCTGATGTAAAAAAAAAAGTTTGCACATAAGTTGATGTTACCATAAGGAGAATCACTCAGAACTTTGTCAGAAATTATTTCTTTTTTATTTTTATGTTTTAGATCTTATTTTTGGGTAATCTCTGTAACCAACGTGGGGCTCGAACTCACAACCCTGAGATCAACAGTCACATGCTCCACCGAAGGAGCCATCCAGGCGCCGCCAGAAATGATTTCTTTTAAAGACAAATTATAACAATTTCGGTTAACTGCTTTTTCAGTCTGTAGAACATTAGAATCTGCTATAGGTAGGGACAGGGCTATCATGGCATGAGAACAGCAAACACAAGATAAAATATGTTCTATAACAGGCAGGAACAGAAACTAAAGGGCACAGCAGTCTGGGTCATTCTGAAAATGGACAAGGCTCTGTAGCTGTTAACTGAGAACACAGCTGTACATTAACAGTGTAACAACTGATGTTTATGATGATAACAAATGCAGAGAGAGGTTTAGTTATGTTTTATAATGGAAGGAAATAGTATATGCATTCTAGAAGGTTTTTTGTTTAGGTATTTTTTTAAAAAAACCTGATGATTTCTGTACTGTTTAGACTAGGAAAAATTGTAAATAACCTAAATTCCAGAAATTTAGGGACTGCTTAGGGAACCATGGCATAGATATTTATAATGTGCCATTAAATGAAAAAGAAAAAAACCCATAAACCAAGACATTATGTTCAGAATGACTCTAGTTTTATAAATTACCTCATGTATATTAGTAGGAAAAAATTCTGAAAGAGTGTGTATATCTTTGGTCGATTTAGGTTGTAAGATTAAGGATGACTTTTCTTTTTTTGAATTTTTATTTTCTTTTAATGCTTCCAATGGTTATCTGTAATTTCTGAAAGGGACATATATTAATTAATTATTGTTATGGGCTGAACTGTATTCCCCCAAAATTCGTATCCTGAAGCTCTAACTCCTAGTAGCTCAGAATGTGACTATTTTGGAGTCAGGGTCTTCAGATATGTGATTAAGTTAAAATAGGGCCGTTAGGGTGAGCTCTAATTCAAGAGGACTGGAGTTCTTATAAGAACAGGGGATTAGGACACAGACAATACAGAGGGATGACCATGAGGCCACAGCAAGGAGGTGGCCATCCACAAGACCGTGAGAGGCCTTAGAAGAAACCACACCTGCCAACCCTGGACTTCTAGCTTCCAGAACTATGAGAAAATTAATTTCTGTTGTTCAAGCCACCTGGTCTGTGGTATTTTGTTATGGCAGTCCTTAGCAAATTAATGTAATTTTTTAAAAAACAACTAAAAATGCTTTGGAGTTTTATTTTATTCTATTTTTTTCAGAGAGAGAGAGGGGGCAAGCGAGTACAGAGGGTAGAGAAGGAAAGGGAGAGAGAGAATCTTAAGCAGGCTCTGTACCCACCACAGAGCCTGACATGGGGCTTGATCTCAATACCGAGATCATGACCTGAGCTGACACCAAGAGTTGGACATTTAACGACTGAGCCACCCAGGCGCCCCGCCTTGGAGTTTTACTAAAAAACATAATCAGGTAGAATTTCTCATTCTAATGAATGGAAAATAAGTAGATTTAAGAATGCCTGAAAAAATGTGTTTAATACTAGATATTGATCATTATTAATTACAGAAAACATGTTAGGCTCACTATTTATGTGAAATATACTCAACATTTAGTATGAATGAAGTATGGGAGTCCAAGTAAACGCATTCATTTCTAAATGCAAATAATTATAGCTTTCAATTAAACTTGTCTTCTCTGTCATGACAAATGATAGAAAAATCAAACTCTGTAGGATTCTGAAAAAAAGAGCAAACAAAACCCACCAAACACCACCAACCACAAATGATGATGAAATGAAAAAGTAATCACTTAATTCCTATCATTATTTAAGTCAGAAAGTTGGTCAAAGAAGATTATCTAAAGCTGTCCCATTGCTCTACTCCATACATTAATTCCTCAATCCTAATTCTATTTAAAGAGTCAAAGAAAATTTACAAGGCTGTCTACCATCAATACTGAATATTATAAGATAGTTTATTTGACTCAGTAACAGGATATAGTATCTCGTTTTACTAGTCTTGATGCGGAAAATATTAAGTAAATAAGTTGGATAAAATTTCTCAAAATGAAATAAGATTCATGTGCTAAGTTTGATGACTAGGGAAAAAAAAAAACAAAACCCAAACAAACCAAACTTTGATTCAAGTAAAACTTTTGTTTGCATAGGCTTTATACTTAAAAGAAGTTAGTTTTTACTCTAAAAGTCATGTCAACCTTTTAGGACTTCCTTTAGAAATTTATTTCTACAAAAAATTCAAGGATTTACTGGAATGTTTTAAGAAATACACGTTATCTTCTCTTAGTCCAGGAAATAAGCCTTTTATTTTTGGTCATGTTTGTGCCCTCTCTCAAACATAAGTAAGCATATATGTAACCCAAGACAGGCATGACAATTTGTAAACGGAAGCATCGATGCATCTCCCAGTCCCTGTGTTGAAGAGTGGCAGCTGAAATGGGTAGAAAACAAGCCCTTAGGGATCCCTAATCAAGCTATTAATCTTTCTTATCATCTTTGCAAAGGCTCAACATCATAATTTCTCCATTTAAAATCTGGTTAGGGGCTCCTGGGTGGCACAGTTGGTTGAGCATCTGACTCTTGATTTTGGCTCAGGTCATGATCTCAGGGTTGTGAGATTGAGCCCACTGTCGGGCTCCGCATTCAGCACAGAGTCTGCTTAAAATTCTCTCTCCCTCTCCTGTGCTTACTCTCTCTCTCTCAATAAATCTTAAAAATCTGGTTAAAAGGAAAACTTTATATCTCCAACAGCCACAACAAAATTACTTTACTAAAAATTTCCACCATTTCTACACACAAGTAGAAAGCATTATCTAACCATGAGAGTGGCTTTTGCACATTCTACTCTTCTAACAGACAATTCACTATCTAGTGATCCTAATGTTCAGCTACTTTCTTCAGGCGTTGGTTAAGAGGTTTCTGGTTCAGTTTTGTTTCACATTTGGCTGTAACAATGCACAGCAGTTAATGTGTTTTTATTTTTCTAAATGTGATGTAGACAAAGAATTAATTTATTGAATGTAGAAAAAATCTCCTATAAATCATAAGATGAAAATGGAAAAACCCAATAGATAAATGGTTAGAGAATATGAATAGGTCACATGCAATCACTGAAAATTGATCCACCTAATTCACACACACACAAAAAACAAACCCACAGATTAAAACTATACTGGGATCCTTAAAAAAAAAACCAAACCATCAGATTGGCAAAGATATGAAAGTGTATAATTCAATGTCTTAGAAAGGATGTGTAGAAGAAGAACATTATCCATTAGAGTGTAAATTGGCATAATATCTAAGAAGGCCATTTGGCAAAATCTATCCTTTGACCAAGCAAATCTATTCAGAACTTCTATTTCAGATATACTCTCATATATGATAAATTATCTCTACATAAGATTATTCATTACAGCTATATAATAACAAAAGATACCTACCAAGAGGCACAACACACTAAAAAAAGGGAAATTAAAATGGGTTTTTTAAGTACTGAAAAAGCTTTATGTGAACCTCATTATTTTTAGAGTCACACAATTATTTTAATGTACTACAAATAAATGAGATTTAAAAAATAATCATCTCAGGGGCGCCTGGGTGGCTCAGATGGTTAAGCATCTGCCTTCGGCTCAGGTCATGATCCCAGGGTCCTGGGATCGAGTCCCGCATTGGGCTCCCTGCTAGGCGGGGAGCCTGCTTCTCCCTCTGCCTCTGCCTCTCTCTCTCTCTCTGACTCTCATGAATAAATAAATAAAACATTTAAAAAAAAAATCATCATCTCAGAATGTATATGTTCACCAAACATAAAATCATCCACCTCACAAGATCACTCACTTATTCAATGAAATTCTCAAAGTTCAAATATTTTTGGAATTCTTCTAGATCTATCTAAAATAGTATACAGGTCCCTCAAGAAAAATATATCTCCTTATAGTTAGATCTAATTTTGGTTTGGGTTTAAGAAAAGAAGTATTATTCTTTTTGGATCAACAAATTTGGCTCTAAATAACTCCAGAAAAATATCAGAGGTCAAATCCACCCTCAGAGGATAGGGATTTTACGACAGTCAAAAGGACATTGCAAAAGGACATTTTGAAGGTACTGCCAAAGAGACATATTGTACATATTTTGATCAACAATACCCTCCTAAATTGTCTCTTCATGTGCTTTGGTGGTACATTCTAACAAAATTATTTAAATAACTTGGTCATACTGCATGGGTGTGTGGTGTGCGTACCAACAGGATGTTCTGAAACCAGGCAGACTGAGATTTAAATCTTGATTCTGCATGTACTAAGTGGAAAACTTCAGGCAATTTTTGTCTGTGTGTATTTTTTTTTTTTCTTTTCATTCTCTGGTCCTTCATTTTCTTATATGTAAATAGACCTAAGGAAATTTTCTGGTTCAATGCGGCAGATTTATCCCTTCTATTTTATTTTCCCTCCAAAATTACCTCTGAAATAACAAAAGAAATAAAAAGGAAAAAATAAATCTCCAGCTGAAGGAAAGGCAAAAAAGTATTATGGCAGCTGACTCAAACGATCAAGAGTTTCTGAACGACAAAACAGAGGGAACAAACCAGTGGTAAAATTTCAACGAAACTAAAAAACAACAAGACAAAGAGAAGATTCTTCAAGAAGGGGAGTTTTCCCAAAAGCAGTCCAGAACAACTCCAAGCTCAGGG